GGAATTTTATTTATTTTGATGTTATACATTTTCCTATCTTAAATGCATGATTATTTCTTTTTTGTTATGCATTAGAATAGAAATAAAAGTTATGTATATGTTTTTTAATCTCAATTTGCTTGGAACCCCTGGATCCCATGCAATGTGTATCACGAATGAATAGATCACAGTGAAGGTTACGAAAGTTAAGTTTAGACAACATGGTCTATGGAAGTGTAAACCAAGGGAAAACATTCTAACAGACCAATCCGATTCAAATATTTGTAGATATGCAAATCATATAAGATTATTAGGCAATAATGCAAAAAATTGGTAACAGTGTCATTAAAGGGCAATAATTCCAATAAGAAGTCATCTGATGATTTTGGTCAAAACTTTAAAAAAAAATCGTAAAATCTGTCATTTAAGTGCAATAGCTCCTGTAAGAAATCGTCTGACAGTTTTGACTTTAACAGACAATAGGAAGAGCTTTACATTGTGAACATTTTTGCCCCTGTTAGATTTTCTCTATCTAGCCGTTTTCAAAATAAGAGGCAAAACTTGCATTTTACACCAATGTTTTATTTTAGCCATGTCCGCCATCTTGGTTGACAGGAGGGGTCATCGGACACATTTTGTAAACTAGATACCATTATTATGATTGTGGCCAAGTCTGGTTAAATTTGGCCCAGTGGTTTCAGAGGAGAAGATTTTTGTAAAAGTAAATGGACGACAACGACAACGGACCACGGATGCCAAGTGGTGAGAAAAGTTCACTTGGCCTTTCCGCCAGGTGAGCTTATAAAAGGAAGGAGATGTGGTACGATTGCCAATGAGGCAATTATCCACTAAAGTCCATATAACATGCATATAAGCAACTATAGCTCACTGTACAGCCTTCAACAATGAGCAAAATGCATACCATCAGCTATTAAAGGCCTAGACATGACAAAAAGTGTAACAATTAAAACCAGAAAACCAACAAGCTGATTTAAGTTTGTTACGTAAGTAAATGCCAGAACTTTTTTATGGTACAACATGTATTGTTTATTACTGTTATACACTTTTGTTTTTGTAATCTCTTAATTTATACCAAATTATATCATTATATGGTTTTCCTGTATTAATTTTATTGTATATTTCATAATTCCAGTAGCTAATGAAGATTTAAAGAGGGGTAAATTGAGATCCCATAAGTAAGTTCTCAAAATCTTTTTTTCCCTGGTTGTCCTTGAAGAAAATCTGCTGGTCACCACTATTAATTTCTTTTGAAAAAATACCATAATTGTGTTGGTCCTTTGCAAAATTTGGTGGTCAAAACCTTCGGACCACCACTTTTGGAGATCTTTGAAACTAGTTTTACCCTGCCACAAGTTCATGTGCCTGTCCAAAATCAGGAATCTCAGCAGAGGTTGTCTTTATTCATATCATTTAGGAAACTTGGTTTTGATGGTCTATGATAACTTTAAAATAAGACTCAAGATGATTAACATTTTGACATATTGTATTATTGTATTATAGTCACACGATCTCTTGATGTCATTTGGATTTTTGTGTTGTTCAGTTGCTATTGAAGCATACCTTACAACCTTTTTTTTCATCATTATATATCTATTTCAATTATTGCAAGGATCACTCACCACAGGGTATTTAAGGGTGGAGCTCCTCAACCCTTATATTTTTAGCAACACCTTGGGATTTCCAGTATCATTCTTGATTATCTCAACGAAAGAAACCTTGAGTTTAGAAATTATATGAGATAAGTTTGGAAATTTTTGATAAGTATGATTTTAAAAGACTTTTATAAAGTTTTGTGATTTTTTTTTTGTCACAATATTAAAGGTACATTACATTTTGTACCAGTACGTACATAAATTAGATGTGTGGTTAAAGTATTGCCAAAGGTATAAAATTTACAAATCTTTCTTTTTTTTAAAGCCAATAAAAATAAATCTATGATCTATGAAGATGATGCCGCATGTTTCATTTTGATTTCCAAGGAGATTTTTATAACTGGTACATATGAAAGTATTGTCAAAGGTATATAATTTACAAATCTTTCTTTTTTTTAAAGCTAATAAAAATAAATCTATGATCTATGAAGATGATGCCGCATGTTTCATTTTGATTTCCAAGGAGATTTTTATAACTGGTACATATGAAACAAAGTCAGCTTTTGAAGACCACATCATATTTGACCTCACATCTTTTATATAGATCAATTACTATGGCTAAGAAATAAGTAGAAAACTGATTGAAACTGACATTATAAAATCAGTTCCAGAGAGCCACTTAAGTTGTAATGTAATTTTTACACATCAATATCATAAAAGTGAATTAGACATAACTCATTTTGACATAAATGATTGAATATTGAAAAAGCTTTGCAACATGACACAAATTTAATTGCAGTTCAGAATCATTTGATTATTCAATATGCTTAATGTAATAACGCTATCTTTTTCAGTCAAATTAATCTGTTTTACAAAAAACGCCTAAAAATTGTTATTTTTTTTTATCCTGTAATTGTTTTGATTTTGTGAAAAGTGCAAAACAACAAAAAGCCCTAGTTAATTGCATCTACTTTGATTATTCCCATTTGGTCGAATTGTGACCTTGGCTTTTTGGTTAAAAACTTAAGTGGTTAATTTTAATACAATGAACAAATTAAAATATCACCAAGTTTGAAAAATACTGAACATCACTTTGCAGACCTTTAAAACTTTATGCAAATGAGAAGGTACATGTAACATAAGAGAAATTATCCGGACCCTAAATTTCCCAAAATATTGAAATTCTTCAATCCTGTCTATTCTATGTTATCTTTTTTTTCAAATGAATAAAAAATATTCTGGGAACTTTAGTACAGAAATATCAGTTGTGATGTCACTATGGACTTGTCTAGCTATAAATTTTAGATCAAAGGATGTTAAAATGGCCATATTTGACCTACAGTGACCATTTTCCATAGTTTTCAGAAAAATATGATATGAGCCAAGGTCTTATCCAAAAAGATATTTCACCCAATTTCCATATTTGGATATTAAAGAAATCTTGGTTAAGGCCTTGGCTTATATTTACATCTAAAAGACAAGATCTTAAAATGAGACATTTTTTTGCAAATTTACAGATTATGCAAAGATTAAAGACCTATTAAAAAGCTATAAAATATATAAGTCATATTCAAAAATATAAAAACTAATATTTGACAGATGAATGTATTGTAAACATCTGGAGAATATTATTTAATAGATTTATAATACTTTTTTTCATAATGGACCAAATAATAGTGGCATTGAGTTGGTGTAAAAAAACTCATACAGAAATAGTTAAAAAAAAGACAATAAAAACAAATAAAGGTCAAAATACTGATAAGAAACTGCCTAATTATTTGCCAAAAGAGCACATGACTTGGGGTTTAACTGGAAAACTCCCATTAACCAATATCTTGAAATGACAGTAACAAACCTGCATTGTACAGCTATCAGTCAAGATAATTCTACTACCAGAAAACTAGATCACAAAGAATTGGAATGTTTAAAGGGTAATAATCCATAAATTGACACATCAGGAGATTCTCAAGTTGAGAGAGATAAGAGCATGGAAATTCTAATCAATTTTGTTGTAAATTCTGTAAATTTATAAATTATTACGTGCATCTAATATTGCAATTTCAACATGACAGACCAAAGTGAGAATAATTGTTGCAATTACAGGAAAATCTGCATACAAACATAATGTGTCAGATTTTAGAATGCAAGTTCTTGTTATTGCGGTACTCACCCAGTCGCCATATTTGCAAAACTAAAAATCTCACAATAATTTCTGAATTTACAGTAGGAGGTATAAACCCCTTAGGGTGTATCTAATTTTAACAGTATTATAATGGTTAAAAGGTTAATGCAAAATGATAGATTTTCAATAATTTAGAAGGGGGCTCTTTCAGCTATTTGACCTTATTTTATGGTTAAGTATAATATGATACTTAATTGTATCTGATTTATATGATCTTTATGGGCCCTGTAGTTTGGATACTAAATACAGGTTATCCAATGTCATTTAATGGTATCATGCATGGTGTAAAAAATGATTATCAAAAATACTGACACTATACTTTTATGGATAAGGCAACATAAGATGCATCCTATGTCCATTAAGTTATTAACACTGTATAGACACTATAATAATTGCAAATTTGGTCAAATCATGACAAATTGTAGCTGCTGCAAAACTATCTTTTGAGATGGTGATACCTATAGGTATTGTTGTAACTAAATAATACAATCAATACAATACTTTATTCTCTAAAAAAACAATATAATCAAAGGTATAGATGGTAAATAGTCTATTTTCCAATTACCAATTTCATTCTGTTATTACACACTTTTAAACATTCAAATGTTTCTCTTTGCCACTACATGTATAAGACTGGTTCTATACAGTACCAAACACAATGAGCTATGGGCTGCATTGCTGCCCATACAAAGCACGATACATTTAGGTTGAAAGTGTAACGTATAGGTGTTAAAAGCCAATTTTAAATGACTGAAAAGCTTTAAAAAAAAACTTACAGATAAACACATACCATACACAGATGAATTTGCTATATCAAGCTCTTCATTTTCAATGAATATTCATGTCGCTCCTAAGGGAAATAACTCACACAAAAGCATCTCTAATTACAGGGTCAATCAAAGAATTGGCACATTAGACTTTTCCTTTCTTTTACCATTCCTTCAATCTTTCTTTCAATTTCTATAACTTGTATAACATGCACACTAAAATAAGTTGTATTTTCAGAAACCTAAATTATTCATCTTGTTCACCTCTTTTTTTTTTAAACAATTTTTGCATTTTTTAAGTTACTCTGGTTTTTTTGGGGGGTGAATTTTAGTCTGAAAAACTAACATTAACTATGCTCTTTATCAACGCCTTCTTTTCAATTTCAATCTTCATCCTATCTAGTAAAATTTTACCTCTTACTGATCATTTATATTTTTGTAATAAAAATAAGCTCTTACCTTTGTAGTTTTCCAAATGATACAAACAGATTATCTACGTTCAGTAAAACACCTGTAAAACCAATGAAAAAACAACACCATGTATCACATCATCTAACCCCAATATTAAAGAGCTAAAATGAAACTAATTATTCTGATTGTAGTATTGTACATTCCTGTACGAAATGGGACGCCCGTAAATGACACGGAAACCAGGCGTAGAAATCATACTTTATCAGGGCGTCATTGTAGTGTTTACGGAATGCATGTCCAGGCGTCAACCAGGCGTAAACCAGGCGGAAACCAAGCGTAACTGAGGCGGAAACCAGGCGTAAAATTAGGCGTAATATTTAAATGAGTACGCCTGGTCCACAGAAAACCAGGCGTTATATGCAAATGAGTACGCCTGGTCAATAAAAAAAACAGGCGTAATATCCTTACATAATACTACACTTATTTTAAATCAGTGTATTACCCTAGCTGTGTACTTTTGTGTATTTGATACAAACTTCTGTACTATTGCTTAAATTTCTCATTGTTTGACATGAAACTTGAAATATTAACTATTAATTGAAGAAGCTATATAAATAAATACATACATGTATTGGACAGACACTGGCTCAAATAAGTTTAAGTTTAAATTAGAATTATGGCAATTAATTCTACCTGAAATAAAACCAGCATTTTAACTAAGTTTTTTTTGAAAATTAATGTCATTTGAACCAAAATATCAATGATAATACTGCAATTTAACTTAATGTGAAAGATTTTAATGTTATCATCCAAGGATGAAGGTTTTCAGAATTCAAAATTACTGTTAAAAAATAAAACTTAGTTACTCACATAATTATCTTTTACCATGTATATTACTTTCCTTTTATTTCACAATTTTCATTAATCAATTTGATTCCATAATTCCAATTTCAAATTCTTCCAAATTATCCCTGAATATATAAAGCTGCCATAAGTCCAACTCTTGCAAAATAATACCAAAGAGCCAAATTTTGAAAAAAAAATCCCATGATCCTTTATCAACAAAGCATTATGGGTATTAAAATTTACGCCATTACAACAGTTTTACGCCCGTAGGAAAATTTACGCCTTGCTTATTTCAATTTACGCCAGGTTTACCATATTTTCTACGCCCGTAAGGACTACAAATTTACGTTTCCTGTTCCCTTACGCCTGGATCTGGTCACGTAACTACCACTTACGCCTGGTTTACGCCAGATTTCAAGGCGTAATACGCCTTATAATTTCGTACGGGTTACACTCTTCCACCTTACAACAGAGCCACAGTAATTATGTAAATTACTAATTATATCTTCATCCTATTTGTTCAACATCTCTGTTTATATGATGCTGAAATGATGTTTATTTCATTCGTAAAGTACTAATCACCGAGAACTCATCAACTTGAAATTAAACATCCCTGAAATTTGCAACTGTCATAATAAATTAAAATCTGTTTATTTAAACAGTATTTAGAAGTAGCTATTCTTTGAATTTTATATATTTGCAGTTAGATAAGTAATATATGAGGAGATTCAAATTGTATTTGATATAGATCATTTCACTCTATCTGACAGTTTCATGTGCACATTTCTCTTTGAAATTTGCAATTTTCTAATGAGAAAAGGCATAAAATTCTGTTTCAAATTAAGAAAATTCAAATAGTTTGAGCACATTAATGTTTCAAATATTTGTTTAACCCATCATTTCAGTCCAGTTATCTGATGAGTTAGACAGCTGTTTAAATGAAAAATGTATTCTAATCACTAATATTGTTTTGATTATGTTTATGAAGGAAGAAATTACATCATTAAAAATTCCAATCTATCTGTACTTTAGGTTACACATATACTCATGACTTCTCTATATTGCATGATCCATTTAGAGAAAAATTCATTATAAACTTAATCAAACTCTAACTGAAACATAACCATAATCATTATATTTATCAAGAAAATATAATAAAATATATCAAAGTTTAGGCTAAGTAATCAAATCTTAACTTACCTATAACAACACATGAACAAAATACAATGTAAATTTAAATTATAATTCTCTCTCATCACTGCACTGAAATATATTGAATTTCATTTTCAATCATTAAATTTTCCTACCTTTTCTTAACACAGATTTCACATTTAAACAGTTGTTATGATAATCAACTTTCTCCCAGGTTATTCCAAAATATGTCAAAATGATAGCGCTGTCTAATAAATTTTTCCTGATAAATTTCTTTTCCAGTGCCAATTTCTGAACAGATCTATACTAAATGTTAAGGCAAGCCTAACAAATGATCTTTCTATTTATCTGTATGAAGCTTCTGTGCACCAAGCTTAAACACATATGAAATTGAAAACTTGTACTATAACTCATTGTCAGGACTTAATATCTTTGATACAAGAAATGATTGCAAAGGTCTCTTTCACAATTGCCATTATTCATCTCTTGCTGTCTTTAATCATACTACTATGACATTTTTTTTCATTCATTTCACAAGTATTATTAACAATGGTAAAGATTTTCAAATGTTTTCAAGTTATCTGTTACGATTTAATTAGTGTTTTTTTTTTATTGTGGGCAGACGAGATTGTCATCTACGTGTTAGTACTTTAAGTATTGTCGTTTACAGAATCAAAGCAACATTATTGAATTTCAAATGTTGAGTTATGGCGTAACTCCTTCCTTTAATGGTGGCAAACTAAATCAATGGTTTGAACTGCAGCATTAATTAACCTGACTGTATTTGATGTTGTCATTATGATTCAGGATGTTTTAGCCTGCTATTTATATTTTCAAACTTATTCACAGTTCAATGATTACATATTGAATTTTAATATTTGAATCTTAATCATGAAATATGATTTTTCTGTTTTACAGTTAAACTAAGTTACAATTCTCCTTTTTGATCCACTTATACAATATATTCCAACAGTTGATTAGATTTATAATATAGCAGTTGAAATATACAGCACAAAAACAAATCATTTCTATAGAGACAAAATGTCAATAAATTAATAGTGTTTAGAACAATAAGTAGTTGTTTGTCAGCCCTAGTCTCAATAAGGCCACGATAAAAATATTCTGTGTTTCTGGTTCTCTCGCAATTCTTATACATGTATATTTTTCTGACTTGGCATATCATAATTTTATTCTTTTAGTGGAAATATGACAATTTCAGAATTTTTCATAATTCCACTTTTAATAATCTTATATTCTTTCATCACTTAATTGTTTAATGGTGATGAATCTTGCTGTTTAGTTTCTGTCTATCTGTTGCATTTTTTTTTAAGATCATAAGAAGGTAAAAACTTTAAAACTTCCCCTGCAAGGAATTCAAGAACTGTTCCAGAACTATGTTCTAGAACAGTTTATGAACATTAAATGGCCCTCTTCTAAGTTCAAGAACTAATTTAATGTATTGGTAAAGACCAATACCTTCAAAAAAATAGTCCATTGATGGTTGCATTGTTTTTCAATTTTGCTGTTTACAGTGTCTGTCATATGAATATTTTCAAGATAGATTTAATAAAATGCTCCGCTGGGCGCAGCTTGATACGACCGCAGAGGTTGAACCCTGAACAGTTGGGGCAAGTATGGACACAACATTCAAGCTTGATACAGCATTGAATTTGGATTGTGATTAAATATTTGACATAGGTTTCTGACACAGAATGAATGTGGTCTGAGAACTTTAAAAAATTTTAATTTACCTATTCAAACCATATCATTATTATTTGCTTTTATATATAAATCAGAAACAACCAATTTAAAAAGGAAAGTTTTAAGCAAAAAAAAAAATCCCTCTCCCAAATTTTTTTAGCCCCCTTATGATTCATCACCCCCAAACTCAATCCCAGCCTTCCCTTTGTGGTATGGTACCTTGCAGTACAATTTCAGAGAGATCCATACACTTGAACACAAGTTATTGTCTGGAAACTAGAAAAATGCTTGTTTTTAGGCCCCTTTTTGGCCCCAAATTCCTAAATGTTTAGAGCAATTACCCCCAAACTAAAACCCAGCTTTCCCTTTGTGATATGGAACCTTGTAGTACAATTTCATAAAGATCCATACACTTACACACAAGTTATTGTCCTGAAACTAGAAAAATGCTTGTTTTTTGCCCCTTTTTTGCCCCTTATTCCTAAAACTTTGAGGCAATTACCCCCAAAATCAATCCCAGCCTTCTCTTTGTGGTATGGTACCTTGCAGTACAATTTCAGAGAGATCCATACACTTGAACACAAGTTTTTGTCTGGAAACTAGAAAAATGCTTATTTTTGGCCCCTTATTCCTACACATTTTGGGCAATTATCCCCAAACTCAATTCCAGCTTTCCCCTTGTGATATGGAACCTTGTAGTACAATTTCAGAAAGATCCATACACTTACACACAAGTAATTATCATGAAACTAGAAAAATGCTTGTTTTTTTACCCCTTTTTGGCCCCTAATTCCTAAACATTTTGGGCAATTACCCCCAAACTCAATTCCAGCTTTCCCTTTGTGATATGGAACCTTGTAGTACAAACTCAGAAAGATCCATACACTTACACACAAGTTATTATCATGAAACTAGAAAAATGCTTGTTTTTTGCCCCTTTTTTGGCCCCTAATTCCTAAAATTTTGAGGCAATTACCCCCAAAATCAATCCCAGCATTCCCTTTGTGATATGGAATCTTGTGGTACAATGTCAGAGAGATCCATACACTTGAACACAAGTTATGTGTGGAAGTTACAAAAAAGCTTATTTTTGGCCCCTTTTTGGCCCCTAATTCCTTAACTGTTGGTACCATAACCTCCAAAATCAATCCCAACCTTCCTTTTGTGGTATTGAACCTTATGGTAAAATTTCATAGAGACCCATTCACTTAAACTAAAGTTAGAGTGCGAAAACCAATGTGTCTTCGGACGACGACGACGACGACGCCAACGTCATACCAATATACGACCACAAATTTTTTTGCGGTTGTATAAAAAGTCAAAAATGTTAAAACTGGTCAGAAACATCATTTTAAGGGCAATAACTCCTATAAGGTGTCAATCATTGTTTAAGTCATATTGACACATTTGTATAACAAGCATTGTTTATTAATTTTGCTGTTTACAGTTTCTGTCTATCAATATTTTTCAAGGTTTTAAATATTCAAAACTTTAAAAATGATCAAAAGCATCATTCAGGGGAAATAACTCATAAAAGAAGTCAATTAATTGTTTCAGTCATACTGATATATTTTTACATCATGCAATGCCAATTGTTTATGTTGTGTACAGCGTCTTACCTTTGTAATTTTCATAATAGGCAAAAATGCAATAGTTGGTCAAAAATTGTCAACTGAAGGCAATACAAGTAACTCCTATAAGAATTAAAGATAATAAATATGGTGGAAATGAGACTTCAATAAATCCTGGCATTCGATACAGATTTGTTTTATCTTTCTGTTATGATTTTTCAAGATATTAGACAATTAATAGTATATCATGTTCTATTTCTATCCATGGGGTCATGTTGATTGGTTGGTAGGGACAAAAAAAAACATAAACTATTGACCATTCAGGCAAAATCTCGTTGAAATAAGTCTAGTCGTTTCAGAAAATAACATAAACAAAATTACAATGTATATCATGATGATACATGTAAAAGACACCAAGTGAGGGCCATAACTCAATCGGGCTTGGTCAGCATAATAAAATTTCTTAAAGGAAGCATACTTACTCAGATTTATTTGGCCTAGTTCTAGCAGTACTGCATGGTCATCTTAAATGTGGAGAGATTGGCACTGAAAATACAAACATTTAAATTATAGTATATATGGTAATATGAGGACAAAGTCCTCAATAACAGTAGAAAAATAAAACAAAAAATCAATATAAAAATCGATATATTAATGAGCTAAAAAATCGTTCACTTATTTTTTCTAACATTTGCACTTCATTTGTACCCTTATCTGATGCACGAAGAATAATGATATGCGGATGTGGTAATTCCGTCGTTTAAGGTATAAATTATCATATTTCTAATTAAATAATACTTCTATATATGAAAAAACATTACCTGTTGCAGATAGTGTTTCTTTGTTAACATTGAAAATGACATCATAAATAAAATTCGTAACAGCAGGACCAACAATCAAAGTTTCCATATTTCAGTTACTTAATTATTTTGCCATGTGGTAAAGATCGAGGCATTTATTGTCAAGCCCTGAGTCACCAAGCTCTTCAGACGAATAAAATTTATAAAGTATTGTTTTTCATTTTTTTCATGAAGGGTATCTCAAAAGTTACAGATGGTTTTAAAATATAGTGTTTTAATTTTTATATTTTACCTTATGTCATAATTTGTAAAATGATGAAAAAAAATTTTGATGGCATAATAGTACATTGTTCTGTAGTTTAATTTTGGAAAAACGGGTGCCTCATATTAAAATTCAAATAAGCTTTATGCATCTATAGCTAATAAGCATAAGTAAAGGAAATTTTATGAGCAGATAATGTAGTTGTTTTCATCCTGCTCTTTTGGCTTAGGTGAGTAGTTGTCTCATTTGTAATCATACCAGATTTCCTTATTTTTATATTGATTAAACTAACAAGTAAAGAATTCACTGTAATCTTCAGACAGGGGTGTACTCCATACACAACTCCCTAAATCCCTAAAAAAAGAAATGTAATTTTTAATTTTTTGTCAAAATATGGTCCTCTGGTGCTCTAACTCCCAATTCTCAAGAGCTCCCCCTAGCACCACCCCCCCCCCCCCCCCCCCCCCAAATGAAATCCTAGATACATGCCTGATTATTGGGAGACACCAAGTGCAAGAAACCTTTAAATCTCTGTCATGCTGCAGCTGCTATATCTTGAAAGCATATATTGCTTTATTTTCATTATGGTCTTTTATGTTTCATCAGCATTAAAAGTTTTGATGTAAGCAGTTAAGAATACAGGATGAATTAAAATCATGTGTTCATCAACTTTTTCTGGCTTCATCATGTTTATATAAGATTTTCATATTTTTACTTCAATCAAAAGTATTTGCATGTGTGTTGCAGACGTTTAATTTTCAAAAGTATTTTTGATGATTTAACGTGGATTTGGAAGAACATGCAACTCTAAGTTATCTGTCAACTATATTTAATATGAGAACATATAACATTGTATGAATATCAATTCTGATTTACACTTTAAACCTGTGAACATGCAGAGTACCTAGATTGTTGACATGCAAGCTCACAAGGTATTAGT